GAAAGTTAATGCCACAAATATTCACTTAACTTATATATATATATATATATATATATATATATATTCATTTTGTATCTTTCACTTATATGGAAGTACTGAAAATTTATTTGCTAAGTCAAGTCTCCTCCAGACGGAATTCTAGCTACTTTCAGTGATAATTTTCAGATTACTACCTTCAATTAGGTCGGTTTTCAGATTATTACCTTCAATTAGGTCGGTTTTTCAGATTATTACCTCCAATTAGGTTGGTTTTCAGATTACTACCTATTAATTTATTATTTTTTGTTTTAAATACCTGACTAATTTTTTTTCTTCAATTTAGTACTTGATGTTGGTCCCTCTCTGTCAAGTGATGACATGACAAACGATCTGCCACGTCATCACCCAACAGTGTTTACCACGTCATCACCATATTCACGTGGTAGTCCCTTGGATGATGTGGCAAACACTATTGGGTGATGACATAGCAGTCTGTTTGCCACGTCATCATTTAACAGAAGAAACTAACGTCATGTACTAAATTGAAAAAAAATTATCAAGTAATTTTAACAATTTTTTTTTTAAAAAGTAGTAATTTAAAAATCGAGCTTATTCGAGGTAGTTTAAACATATTTAAGCCAATAAAAATTAAGGTCAATTTACTTGTGAGAAATTGAAATAATATGTACAACATCTTATATTTAAATTTTGTTATTTTTATTATAATTCTTAATTGATAAATAATATAAAATAAAATAATCTGTATTAATAGAATTATAAATAAAACAATTTTAACTATTTTATACTAATAGACAAAGAAATGAATTCTAAATGGATATAATTTAAGTGAAATTGAAGTGCAATATGATGTAGCTTTTTTTTTTATTGAGGAAAGCATTTCAAGAATTACAACTTGTTTAAAGAATAAAAGAAATAAATTTTTCAAGTAAAAATAATCATTATTAAAGTCAATGCCAGCAAAAGACAGTGAAATAAGTGTTATATAATATTGCATAATCACCAATTTTATAATGTGATTATTGAATCAGATTGTAAATTAACAATAGATCAAATTTATAGTAATGATGGAGATGTTTTTAAGTGTGACATAATTCTTAATCAAATTAGATGGATTATGATAAATTTTCCTTCTATAACTCGTTCTTTAGCCATAAATTTTATCTTGTTTGATTATGAGAATATTCATAATGAATTTTCTTATTATATTCAAAATATTATTTTAATGAAAAGAATATGATTATGTTAATGTGAAAATATATATAATTAAATAAGTATTTACTTAATAATAAAACGAAGATTAATATTAAAATATTTGTATTCATGGATATATACATTTTAAAATCATATATATAATGCAATTTGTTTTAATTTATTTTTACAAAAATTGTATGTGTTATATTCATTTATTTTTAGTATAAAGATGTTATAAAATTATTTTTTAATATAAATATAATTTTTAAAAATTATTTTTAGTTTAATTTTAATTTTTATATCTTATTTAAAATTTTATATTTTAACAATTTATAGATATATAATTTTTTTTTATAAATATTCACTAAATAGGTACGGTAACTCGCGAAACTTAATTGACTCAAATTGACTTATTGAACTCAAATTAAATTATTTTAGTGTTTGGGTCAAACTCGACCCAACCAAATCAAAACTAGTCATTGTACAAGTTGGATGATGAATTTTTTGTTGGCTCATGATATATACATCTCATTTTTAATAAGTACACCTCATTTATTTATTTATTTATTAAAAACCTAAAATATCCTCAATTTTTTTTATTCTTTAATTTTTTAATTTTACATTTCCAACTTTCAATTTACCATTTTCTTCTTCTTTCCCATACACTTCCCTTTTTCTCTCTTTTAGTTTTCACATATACCCTATTGGCTTCCCCCCATTCCCCACTTATTTTAATAGGTAGTTTTAGTTCTCTTGATTTTCACATTACTCTCTCTCCCCTCATCTCTTTCACTTTTCACATGCGCCCATATTATAGAATCGGTGCACAACAACATTATAGGCATGTGTGACTTCCTCGACAGTTTCTAGCAAGCTAGATATGCATTTTTTTCTTCCACCACTTTCTCCCTTTTACACTTTGAAAAACCTTAACATTAAATGCAATGTTATGGAAAATACATTCCATAACATTAATTTCACTATTCTAGAGTACTTTCTAGAATAATAAAATTAATGTTCTAAAAAGTATTTTTTGAAATTATATTTTTAACATATTTCCAAAAAGTTTTTTTCAGAGCAGTAAATTTAGTGTTCTAGAAATTACTTTATGAAAGTGTGTTATTTTACACACTTCCTGAAAGTACTTTCTATAATACTAAATTTATAGTTCCTAAAAATACTTTTCAAAAATATATTAAAAACACAATTTCATAAAATACTTTCAGGAACATTAATTTTATTATTCTAAAAAATACTTTTTGAAACACTAGAATTATTTAATGTTATACTTTATAGGTGTGTAAATGGGGGAAAATGCTCGAAGAGAAAATGCACATTTGGCTTGCACCTTGACACTGTTGAGAAAACTACTTGTGCCTGTAACATTGTCAAAAATTAGTTCTATGTTTGGATATATGTAAAAACTAAAAGAGGGGGGAGAGAGAGAGTAATAATATGAAAATTGAAAGAGAAGGAAGGAAGAGAGTCATGTAAAGCTGAAAATTTTAAAACTACATATTGAAATAGCTAGGGAGTGGGAGAAAGATAGGAGAGTACATGTGAAAATGAAAAGAAGAGAGAAGGAAGTGTGTGAAAAAGAAAAAAAAATACTAAAATGAATATTGGATGTGTAAAATTACAAAAAAAAATTAAGGATATTTTAAGAATTTATTTTTTTAAAAAAATGTGTACTTATAAAAAAAGGTGTATATATCATGAGTTTTTTTTTGTTTTTGACTAGTGACTCGACCTAATTGAATCATATGTAATAAAATAAATAAATAAATAATAATAAGTTAGTGTTTAGATGTTTACTTGCTCAAAAATTAAAACAATAATTTCTCACTTGTTCAATAACAAATTTTATATTTTTCGATTGATAATATCATTATAATAATATAACATATTCATTTTTTATTAATCTTAGTTGTTCAAATCGATAACGATTTAACAAATTAACAAATTATTTTAGAGTTTAATTTATATTATTATTTATTTTATAAATTGATAAAATTATATTTATAACCAGATATAAAATAATTTACATCTATTATAAAATATTTAAATTCTTATAAATAAATAAATAAATTTAATTATATTAATTTGATTAATTTAACCTCAATTCAACATATTCATAATTAAATTAAGTTTGGTTAAATTTAAAAAAAAATTATATAAATTTAATTTAATCTAACTCGTTAAATTTTGATAGAATAAAAGTTGATCCAAATTTAGTCTGACTCAACACAAAAAAAAAAAATTTAGTGTGACTCACCCGCTTATGATGCTAATATTTGGACCACAAACATATCGAATGGCAACGATCTGTATGAGAGTAAATGGAATGAGGTGTGAAGGGAAGAAATTATGAGAGTAAATGGAAATGGGTGTGAACAACTTAAGGAAATTTAATGACTATGTGTGTCCCAATACAGATTACACATGCGCATGAGACACGTGAGAGAATGCTACAATCAGCTGTCGAAGTAGATGGATGGCGAAAAGTTGCAGTTTTTAAGTGACTTTTTTTCCTTAAACGACAAAGATCTACATCCTTTTCCACAGTTCCCACTCCAGCCGCTTCAAAAGTTTTTTTTTTCATTTATATATTATTTAATTAATTAATTAATTTCTAATACCAAGGACTTAAATTTTTCTTAATACTCACCGATTCTTCTTCTCTCTATTATTAATTTATTCTTATTTTTTTTTCTCCTACGTTAATACATTTTTGTTTTTGGTGCTTAAGTGGGAGAGGAATGAGGATAGTTAATCCAATTTGGATTGCAGCATGCTTTCGAAAAGGTGAGTTTTCAGCTGCACTTTAAAATCTAAACGCGGAAATACCAAAGTGCATATCTTGTGCAGGCGGTATTCAACCTAGGTGCCTTTGTCTGACCCGTAAATACGGATTAATTTTGGTACTCGTCACTGTCCATCACATATATCTTCCACAACACCACGTTTCTTGCATTATATAACCCTTGCAAGTTGCATCACAAACGCACAGACACCATTCTTCATAAGATATACACTCCACAAATAACTAGGATGATTTGGATAACACTTGGTTTGGCCTTTCTTGCTTATTTGTGGCTACTGAGAAGCAACAACAAGGCAAAGAAACTACCACCTGGTCCAAAAGGATTACCAATTTTGGGAAGCCTTCTCAAGTTGGGACCAAATCCTCATCTTGATTTGTACCAACTAGCCCAAAAATATGGACCTATCATGTACTTACGCTTAGGTTTTGTGCCTACCATAGTTGTTTCTTCACCCCAAGCTGCTGAACAGTTCCTCAAGACGCATGACGTTGTCTTTGCAAGTAGGCCGCCTCATGAATCTGCAAAATACATCTCTTGGGAACAGAGGAACTTGAGCTTTTCTGAATATGGTTCTTATTGGCGCAACATGCGCAAGATGTGCACGTTGGAATTGCTGAGCCAAACTAAAATTAACTCCTTCAAACACACGAGGGAGGAAGAGCTTGACCTATTGATCAAGCTTGTAAGAGAGGCAGCCAGTGATGGAGCTGTTGTTGATCTCAGTGCCAAGGTTGCAACACTTAGTGCAGACATAGCTTGTAGAATGGTTTTTGGGAAGAAGTACATGGATCGAGACTTGGATGAGAAGGGGTTCAAGGCTGTGATGCAAGAGGGAATGCATTTAGCAGCAACTCCTAACATAGGTGATTACATTCCTTATATTGGTAAACTTGACCTTCAAGGACTAGTTAGGCGTATGAAAGCAGTGCACAAAATCTTCGATGACTTCTTTGAGAAAATTATTGATGAGCACATGCAATCCGAGAAGGGAGAAGACAATATGAAGGATTTTGTGGATGTCATGTTGGGCTTTGTTGGTACCGTAGAATCTGAATATCGCATTGATCGACCCAATATTAAAGCCATAATGCTGGTAATGACATCACTGAATTTTTTCATCATATATATTTTTTAAAATTGATTTTTATATAACGGCTGTTTGTACGTGGAATCGAATATCCTACTCTTAGTGACTTACATTAACATTTCACCTCTAGTCTTAACGACTAGGACCGATACCAATTTAGCTACAAGCTTGTTGGCTTTTCTCACCGATTTTTAGAATATCAATTTTCACTCTTCTTTGACACTATTTTTTATTTTTTGCACAGGATATGTTGGCTGGTTCGATGGATACATCTGCTACAGCAATTGAGTGGACACTTTCAGAGCTCCTAAAGAATCCAAGGGTGATGAAAAAAGTCCAAATGGAATTGGAAACTGTGGTGGGTATGAAGAGGAAGGTGGAGGAATCAGACTTAGACAAGCTGCAGTATTTGGATATGATTGTAAAGGAAAGCATGAGGGTCCATCCAGTGGCACCATTACTAATACCACACCAATCCACAGAAGATTGTATGGTTGGAGATTTTTTCATACCTAAAAAATCAAGGGTGATAGTGAATGCATGGGCTGTTATGAGAGATCCAAGTGTTTGGAGTGAGGCAGATAAGTTCTTGCCGGAGAGATTTGAAGGAAGCAACATAGATGTGAGAGGGCGCGACTTTCAATTGATACCATTTGGGTCTGGCAGAAGAGGATGTCCAGGATTGCAATTAGGTCTTACTGTGGTTCGTCTAACAGTGGCCCAACTTGTGCATTGTTTTGATTGGAAGCTACCAAATGACATGTTACCAGCAGACTTGGACATGACAGATACGTTCGGCCTCACAATGCCTAGGGCCAATCCTTTACTTGTCATTCCTACCTATCGACTTTCTAATGAAAGGGATTAGGGAAAACAATTTCCTAGTATGTATTTTATGTTTAATTAGCTTCATTTCAATAAAATTTATGAGAAAACAAATAAAAGAGTGAATCATTATCTTAATTCCAAAAGTATAAACAGTTGTCATATTAATTTATAAAATTTCACAAAATTTTATATGAATATATGAAAGTACAACCTGTCAATTATAATAATTCAAAATTAAAAACATGTAATAACAATATTTACATCTGTATAAAGATTAAATTAAATAATAGTAATTGGTTAAGTTTATGGACTTGTAAAATAAAATAACTAGATATTTTTCATAAATTTCTTTAAAGTTTATTTAATTTTAGAGTCTAATATGACATTGATTTATATTTTCTAAGACTAAAATTATATATTTTCATCAAAATTTTTGTAATTTTCTGACACTTAAATAATAGGAATTATTAAGGAATGATAATGGTGTACCTCAAGGTTATCTTGTGTAGCTAAACCTTGCTTACGACATAGATGAGATAAATGCACCTTTTTCTACAATAATTTGTGGAAAAACAACCTTAGATATTTCCAACCCATTTTTGTGTTTTTATACACTTTTGTGGATCAATTAATGTGTTTATACATATGCATAGAAAAGATTACAATAATGACAATAAAAAAATGGAAACTAAGTTTTTATGCATCTAATCTTAATTTTTCTTTACCATTAGTTCGACCTTATTAGGATGGTTTTGTCGGTGACATATGTAACATCCATTTTAATTTCTTGATACTCTTAATTTTTATGAGTCCTTTAGCATCATGTTATTTATTATAATGATATAATCCAACTCAAATTCGTAATTCACTTTACGTAGATCCCATAAAGGAATCCACATTTTTATACTTTTATTAAAAGAAATTGTGAAAAATTATTATTCATATAATTTTTTTACTTTCAAATAATAAATACTTAAAAAATAAAAAATATTATAATTTCGTTTATTTATGTATGACTTAGTAAAATTGAAGAGAAATATAGAGTATTACATAAACATGAATTATTATTATTATTATTTTCTTTTTGTGAAATTTTCTTAAAATGCTCCATCAAGTTTAGTTGAAGTTGCTAATGCATGAAACTGTCTGCCACAAAAATGTGCTCTTATTTGCAAGTACTTTGTAAAATTGGGATGAGATCCATTAAATATTTAAACTGTTGAGATTTCATTATCTACATAATCATGATCAAAATTATTATTATTATTTTTTATCTTCAAAACCATATTATATGCACCTAGACATTATATACTTGTCTGAATCCGTGTATCAAACACACATTGTACTACGTAAAATTGCAAATCAAAACTAGAACATGTCAAATTTCTTTTTTTCCCACATTTTTTGTTGTATATTCTTGATGTTCTGTAAAAAAAATTATTTTTCCTCCTAAGATGTTTTTGACAAAAATACTCCACTTAAATAAATATCATCGACAAGAAAGTATTTCACATTATATAGCGTTCTATTATCATACATTGAACTGAACGACCTTTGTCTTTTCAAAAAGTCATTAAATATATTATATTGATTTAACACATTAATATTATTGTTTGAACATATATGCAATTTCAAAAAGTGCATGCTAAAGTCAGAAGTATTGTGACAACACTGTTTTAAACATGATTTTGAGTTTGGCATGATCACCTTGAAAAATTGTCCTTTTCATCCGATTATACAATTTTTTCATTTCTAATTTATAAAATGATTAAAATCTAACATACTTACAAAGTCGTGAATCTCCCCATTCATAATAGGCGTTGAATGTCATTATCATTAAGTATTTTCAAGAACCCAATTCCAAATATGTCGTTCACACTCATTACTAATCTTTCTAAGCATTCCACTATATAGTAATTTTACAAAATTTAGCATAACTATTACGCTATAGCGGGTGCTCCATATGCCAATATATAAATAATATTTGTGCATTTCTAAAACAACAAAAGACCTATTTTACCAATTGCATCACCCCTCTCCCAAAAATATGCATCGTCATTTCTAAGAGCTTCTACAATTCAAAAGAACATATATCCCTACACATTTGAAACTTTCACCACAATTTAGCCTCCTGTGTAAGTGATTGAATAACTAATTATTCCTTCTTCACGAGTCTGATCTATTACCATTCTAATTTGAATACCGCGTCTCACAATTGGCTCCAACAAAAAAAAAAAAAAAAATATATATATATGTGTGTGACAGAGAAAAAAAAAATTCATTTATTCTAGACTTACTCTATTCAATAATTTATGTTTTACATCAAATTTTAATAATCCAATCGTTAAATTTAAAGTTCTTAATGTATAGATTATGCATAATTATTTAATACTTCGTTTCATTAATTCAAATCAATGTATAAAATAATTTTATGATTATTCGTCAATTTAAATTAATGAAATAAAGTATTAAATAATTTTTAAATTTTTTAAAAATTTGTAAACTTAATTTATGTATTAAAAATAATAATTAAATCTTTTAAAAAATGTATACCAATCACGTAGCTAAAAAAATATATTAAACAAGTTTCACTGTGGCCCAAAGCAGAAAAGGCAGGGAAAAAAAAGTTGTTGGATCCTGTTGTTAGACACGTTATGCTCACTGACGGCAACATGAGTTTTAGGTAAAATAATATATTATAATCTTTTAAATATAAGTATAAAGTAAAAATATATTTAATAAAAAAATAGATATGTAATTTTATTAAAAAAAGGGTAAAAGCTTAATTTCACCCTTATAATATTAAAAAGTTTCAATTTGATCTCACTTTAATTTTAAATTTCAATCTAGTCCCAATTTAATTTAAAATACTTCAATGTGGGACTTCCGTCCAAATTTGATTAATGGAATTAATTTTTGGCCATGTGAATGCTTACATGGAATGACCAAGTTAAGTTTTCTTTTTCTCTCTTCTTCTTCTACCGAAACCCTAGACTTTCACCAATTCATGTAGCGTCGCGTCGACGACTGTCGCGTCAATCACCACCGTGTCGTCGCCTTCGCCAACCTCAAATTCGTCACGCGCGACTTTTGAAACCTTTTAATATTATAAGGGACCAAATTAGACTTTTAACCTTAAAAAATTTATACATCTTATTATTATATTAAGTATATAATATAATTTTAGAGAGGATAATTATAATTATAGTATATAGTGTAATTTTTTTAAGATAATTGAAACAATTTTTTTTAAGTATCAATTACAAATTTTATTAAATACATTTTTTATTTTTTTTATATATATCAAACTTAGATAATGGATGTAATATTTTATTGAACGTAGATTTTTTATTTCAATTTTTTTTATATTTTTTAATGTTATTGATTAAATTTAAATATATTTTTAATATTTCAAATTTAAGATAAATTTATTTTTTATCCTTTAAATTTAAAATTTTTATTTTAATTTCTCAAGTCAAGAATAATATATTTAAAAGTAACAAATTAAGATAATTATGTAGTATTAATAAGATTTAATATGATGTTTTGTTGAATAAAGACACTAATAGATAAATTTTATGTGACAATATTTAAAAAAAATTAACAAAATATAAATATAACGATTAAAACAATTTTTTTTAAATTACAAGATTAAATTTAAGGAACTTAAAATATATTCAACTTATTATTTAATATGAAACGAAAAGATAACTCTACTGATAAAATCTGAAATACAATTCTCTTTCATAAATATAAAAAAAGAAATCAAATGACAATTAAAACATAAATAAGAAATCCTATCTTTTAAAAACATTTAAAAATATAGAATAAATTTATGGTGTTAAGATACATACAAATATAAAAATAGAAAATATTTTTATTTTTTTCTTAAAATACGAGAGGCTAAAAAAAATTGAGTCCCCGAATTAAAAATCTTAAATAACTGCACTTTTAAACGACTCCCGTGAGTACTTCTAATTATGTTGCAATTACACTGTTTGATGCCACTTTAACTTATAATTTAAAAAAAAAAATGACTTGACATGGGTGTTATTTGATCGACTAGTGACACTATATATTCTGTCAAATTTTTTTTTCAAAACAACTCTATTTGGATAAAGAAATTTTTACAGAAAAAATACTTTTTAAAAAAAATTACCAAATATATATATATATATATAATTAATACAAATAATATATAATATTATGTTTATATATTTATTTAAATATATAAATTTGTGTTAATAATTTATAATATTAATATGATAAATTAATTATTATTAAACATTTTATTTAAATAAAATAAGTTAATTAATATTAAATATTAAT